ACAGAAACCGCCCATTAAGAAATGGAATATGAAGTCAACCTACATATAAACGGTAAAATTTAAGACTCCTGGATCAGGACAACAGCTGAATCGGTTAAGACTCTCTGGCAATTTTTACTTATCTGTGTCAAACTTCACGACTCTTCAGTGTTTAAGAGCGTCGCAAAATAAAACTATTTTTTGATTGCTGAATCTAGACCCCTTAATTTGCGCCTATTCCCGTGTGATATTACGATGTTTATCTAAAACGGTTTGTCTCAAAATGAACATAGAAGGATTAATTACTGTTTAAGATTATAAAGACTATGATTTTACTTTGTAAACACTTCCTTATAGCACATTTGTTTTAACAATTCTGTTAAACTCGTTTGAATAATCTAAAAAAATAAGCGTTATTTCAGATATTATATATTAACCAATCAGCTTTCCCTGCCCGTTAGCCTCTTTCACGTGCTCCACTTACGACAGAAAAAATGGGCAAGCCTCGTGCAAAAGACAACATCAACAGAGGGAAACATTCAATGAATCCCGGTACTCTGAATTTCTTTTAAGATTCTATTTTCCAGATAGGGGTAAGCTGGAAAAGGGGAGTACCATGCGTTCGAAGGCGACCATTAAACGGTTACATATGTATAAGAATTTCAAGGCCAAACGGTACCTCTATTTTTTAGTTGTTATTTTGTCTCCTAGTGACGCGAAGGGTCATATAGTTCGTGCTGCCCCATTCCAGTCAACAGCTCCTTCTGGGACAGTGTCTAGAGTTGACCCTAATCGGCGATGGTTTGGTAATGTTCTTATTGCTCCCAAATGACCAAATAGGAAACACAAGGGTTATATCACAGGATGCTCTGCAGAATTTCAAAGAGGCTATGAAGGTGAAAAATCCCTATGAAATTATGTTGCGCCAAACTCGTTTGCCCGTTTCCTTATTGGATGAAAAACGTACGGTAAGTGTTGATCTCACGTAGTTACTGTTTAGTTTAGAAGAAGAAAGCAGACATTCTAGCAGCAGAAAGTTTTGCAGATACCTTTGGCAAGAAGGCGAAGAGAAAGCGACCGCGCATTAACTTTGATAGTCTTACCGTGAGTCTCCTCTCCTTTTGATTTACTCTTCGTTCTACGCGTCTTTCAAATGTTTGAGGCGCATATATTATGCTTGCTGATTTCAAATTCTGGTACTTTTATCAGTCTTACGCATTACATATTTTCAGACCACGTAGAGATCACAGAGTTCACGTGCAGTTACAATCATGCCTTGTACGTGCACCATGTGTTTAGTTCACATTTTGTGTATAGCTATTTCGATACCTTACGATATTTTATCACAATCGCTGGATATATCAATTATATCAGCAGCAGCACTGAAATGTTAGCATGCATGCTCTTAATGTTTTGGATTTGAATGTTGCTTATCAATAGTGTAGTCTTAGAGCTAGTAGCTGTACTGTTAATCTGAAGAATGATTTAGCATCACTTTCGTGCTGTTTGATGAAGCTGCTTATTATCTATAGATAGGTCCATTTTCGATTTGTGGTGATTGAATGTTTACTCTGCTGTGACCTGACGTGCGGGCAGAAAAAGGTACCACTGTGTTGCGAATGTGTCAGATCAGCCCTTCTGGAATAGCCGAATTCTGATTTAGGTAGTCTATGAATCCAACCCCTGCATTTATCTCTCAATGGTCGATTACGCTGCATAATGACACTTGATAGCAAATTATTTCGGCCAATTAAAACCGACTATCAATAAGTCTGGACCGTGTGTCTCGTGAGCTTATTGATTTATTTAATGTTACCTCATATTTGCAATAGGTCTGTGTTCTCTTACCCAGTTCGTTTATATTGTCATTTCTAGCTGGCTTTCTTATCAAGCGGGGACAGAACCTGTTAAGTACGTTTCCTTTAGAGCCAATTGATCTGCGGTATCGAGCATTTTGAACCTTTGAAGGGTCATCATTTTTTGAATCTGTGAATCATTATCTTCAAGTTGCATGGCCGATGTTACCACCAATCCAGGCAATTACATGGCGTCTCCTATCCATGAAAAAAAGGTTACTAGTCAGCGCGATATATCCGAAATGTGTTATGATGCCGCAGATGGTTGCATGTTTCATCTACTAAAAGGACTCGCGTTGTTGACCCTCAAATATCGCCAACCCTTCCCAAATGTCACTCCATACTTTCTTGAAGCAATAAAGCCTGAGGATGCTAAATTCCCAACATCTTAAACACCTGTGCTTTGTTTCTTCTAAACAGGCCCTCGTTCAGAGCGCAGAGTCCAACCGATTTGGATACGATCGTGAAAAAGATCAGGCCCTCGTGAGGGAGTATACTGGAGTACGCGATGCCATCAGCGATCCACACTTTAAGGCTGGCACTTCCAAGCGGGTATGGAATGAACTGTTTAAGGTAAGTTGGTGACTTCTCTTTTCAAGTTTAAAATTCTTCTGTTTTATTTCCGAAATAAGGCATCTCGTCTGTTTAAAGCGGTATTTCTTCAACAAACGGTACTGCTAGTAAGAGGAAAGGGCCGAAGTCACATTTAGACGCTTCTCGCATTGCACTTAAAGTAGTTATTTCATTGATACCGAAAGAAGTTATACAGATAAATCTAGATAATCAATGGAACCTAATTTGTATCCCATTTTAAACTTTCATTCGCCTCCTTATAATTCTGACAGATAAGTTAGTTTGTTTTCCAATGATTATATTGCGCATTCTCTGTGAGAAATTGAATACTTTCTGTTATTGCCAATTTTGCACGAGGAAACGTTTCTTTACCAACTTAGTCCATCACAAAAGCATGTACTCCTGCAGTTGTAACTACAGGCATTAATTGCACGGTAACTCGGCTTTATAAACAGAAAAGTAAAGGTTTTCCAGCGGCTGGCTCAAATAATGTTTATGAGTGGATCTTTATTCACTCCATAAGGTAGCTCTAAAAAACTTTTTACTTGGCCTTTTTATAAACAATTTATCTGAGGCCTTTATGTTTCCCGCTGTTGTTGTGGTAATGACACGCCCAAAAAGAATGGCCTATTGAGAGTAAGACAGATGGATATGTAAGTCATCACTAAGGTCAGTATGCTGAAAGAAATGGTTCTTCTTCCTTACCCTCTTTTGTCAAGAGTTTGTTTGCGCTCAAGCCTGTGACAACTGAGCTATGTTCGATTTTTCTGTTTCCGTATTTTTACTCCCAGTTTGTCAGCTGCTTGGTGAGCTTTGTCAAAATCTGCGGTCATTGTTGGCTAAGAGTTCGGCCAACTTTACGTCTATTACCCAATCAATTTGTTCGTTGCTATCCAACCAGTTGAAGAACTGACTTTCTGCTCATATATGCTTAGTTTTAACTTATAATATCCTAACTGGCTATAAACGTATTGTTGCTCCCCCGCATTTTAGGTTGTTGACTCCTCGGATGTCCTACTCTATGTCCTGGACGCACGCGATCCCATGGGCACCCGGTCCAAGTACATTGAAAACTACATGAAAAAAGAAAAACCCAATAAACACTTCATTTTTGTGATTAACAAAGTCGATCTCGTCCCAGTTTGGATCACCGTACGTTTGTCTGTGTGAGCACAAGTTTCCTTATCCGTGCCATAAATTTGCGACGATGCTTCGTCAGACGTAGGCGTGTTTCGCGAGGGGTTGAGGTGGCGCATCTTCTGATTTACCGAACCCATTCTTATCTACAGGCATGTTACTTAGCGAGGAGCAGTGAGGGGGAGAGTTAGCCCACTACAGCTCATTAGTGAAGCTGTCTCTTCTGATTGGAAAGAACTGATTACTGGGGTGACATTTTCGAATGTATACGACTCTTCCTGGTCGACTGTTTATGAGTCTGTCTTATACGTAGAAAAGGGGATGAATGGGGTTGACCGCTACATGCGTCAGTCTCTGTCTGCTGGCAGGCGAAGCCTGGAGACGGCCGTCCAGTCACGTACGCTGGAGAGCGCCCGATATGTCGGTTGAACGATTGTGCATCTTTCGGCCTCGCATTTGCATCTGACATATCATTCAGTTACCACATTGCCCTGTTATCTCGACTGTCTTGAAAGTCGAATTCATGTCCAGACGGCGATTGGCATCACCACCTGCAGAGCCTAATCCGACTTCTTGGACATAAAGGCATTACCCGAAAC